CCTGTTACCTTTAGACTTTAGAGTTATAGACTCACGTTTTAAAATAATAACCGTTTTAATATCACGTGAAGTATTATGTGCCCGTACATCTAGCCATTTAATAGTTTAGATGCATTACGATACATACATACATATATATATATATATATAAATATATATATATAAATATATAAATATATATATATATATATATATATATATATATATATATATATATATATATATATATATATATATATATATATATATATATATATCTTATGGGGTTAGGGCTATCCAGAGCCTTTCACTGGTCACCATATATAGGTTAGGCTGCTAGCCTGATGTTCATTTTGCTCAGAATTATTGTGGCTGAGAACTCTACGAAATACATTTAAAAAAAATAAATTAATCAGTGACGTCATTTCCTGCTTATCTTTCGCTCCTTACCCCCCCCCCCCCCCCCTCTAGATTTCTCGATATCGTGTTTCTAAGCAAAATTAATTTATTTTGTTTTTCAATTCCAACTTCTTAAAAGATAATTTTTTGTATTGTTATGAGAAAAGCTGATATCCATTAATGCAGGGTTGTCCCTGGACACATGGGTCTCGCCATACAAAGATGTTACATCCCAGAATCCACAGCATACTACAAACTTCTTTGCATCGTTTCAAAAATTAATTATTAGCATCATTTAAAAATCCTATTATAATTATAAACTTGAATATCGCTAAAAATGACATTTTTATTAATTAAAAGTCAGTATCGATATTACTATACTAAGAGACCTATACATCTTATACTTAATATGCGATTCCTGGTATCGATATTACGATACTCGTTTTGTAAGCGAGAATAAAGCAAACACATCGAGATTTGATTTATGGAACTCTTGTTTGGCTGGAGGTTCGTCTGCGGACGTTTACGTCAGCTAAGTGTTTTCAGAGCAAACAATTTACAGTCGACACACCTGCTGTTTTTGGTCGCTTAGATCTATCTTTCTTATCGTATCTAATCTAATCGATACTTTTCCATTAGCCGTACCATCATCATGAAATAGCTAGTAACATAGGGGTCATCCATAAATGACGTCACGCTTTTTTGGACGATTTTTACCCACTCCCCCTCACCTCCGTCACACGTCGTCACAAAAAGCCAGACCCCCCTCCTAAAATAACGTCACACCTCAGCCTACAACACCCCCCCCCTCAAAATTGCTGTTGAATTTTTCTTAAAACATCGATATTTTTCCAAAATCTTGTCAGAATTCAGTCAACATAGAGTATTTCGATCAATCCCTATTACAATTTATTAAAACAGTTTTCTAAAACGCGAAATAACGGCTATAACTCGTTTTCTAACATTGCTTTTTTATAATGCAAAAAAGTGACGTCACACCATCTGAACAACCCCCCCCCCCCTCCCCCTCATTACACACCGTCACAAATTTACGGACCCCCCCTCCCCCCTACGAATGTGACGTCATTTATGGACGACCCCATATTGTCCATAACTATATTCCTACTTTAACTCCAAACCTAACAAACGATTTGAAGTATCGATGTCGACATTAGCATTTCGATTATTTAGTCCGTTTTCTTTATTTCTATCACACTTGTTCTGCTTAAAATTTATGCTGTTGTAGAAATATAGGGGAAAAAAACTCAATCGAATCTGAATAGGTTTAAAAAAAAAACAACCCCAAGCTAGTTCGTCTGAGCGATGAAGCGAGCAAATAGAAAACAGAAGCCGGTACAATTTAATGCCGTCCAACAATGTCAACAGCCGTGCAAATAGCGACAACGCTATTTGCCCGGTGAAACTTGCTTGACTGTCAATATGGCCTCATACATTTAGTGCAGGACGTCAAATATAGCTTTACATATTCATCAGATAACTGTAAATATAGCTTTACACATTTTTTTTTTGCAGTACTGCAAACACCGTCCTACGTATTCATGTGTAGATGCTACATATGTATTCTTGTCTAGATCTTAATTCTTACACATATATGCACGATACCTCAATATATGTAGAATAACGCTGCCTATTTTAATATGCTTCAGTCGTCAATAAGAAAAAAAAAACTATACGGAGTTGATGAACAGGGGCGGGTCAATAAATAACGTTTAACTGACCTTTGTTTAAAAAAAAACCCTCAAACAATATGTTTTATTTTTTAAATATTTTAGTTTAAAATAAATAAACTTGTGCATTTTAACAATTAGCCATCTAAATGAAGCGCGTGATGGGAGGTCGTGGTCGGAAGGTAGAGCTTACGACTTACGACTGTAAAGTCTTGAGGTCGGATACCTGACTCAAGTGGTTACCTGACGTTAGGGAAACTATGCCGACCACACTATCTCCCTATATGTCTTGTGATCTCTTCTTCATTTGCCCCATGTCTATTTGGCACCAGAGTTTCTTCCAGGCTTGAAAAAAGTCTACCACTCCCGCCCCCCCCCCCCCCAAACGAAATAGAATTTACATAGAAAACATATACTTTTACCAGTATCCCCCCCGGAAAATGTTGTCCCCCCCCCCCCGAATATATCAAGTCCGTCCGTCCGTCCGTCCCCCCCCCCCCCCCCCCCCCGAACCCTCCCGGAGAAAAAAGTCGGAAGAAACACTGTTTGGCACGAACGGGACAAGATGACGTCGGAAATAAATGCGTAACGTCATTGGTTGGTTATAGTCTTGTGACCATGGTGTTAGGACTGGACCAGTTTGGCCATTATGGTACTTTAGCCTGGCTACCCAGCTGGTACCAGGACTCATTGTCCACATATTCATTCTGAAATCATGCAATCAAGATGGGGTGTGTTACACCGTGTCTATAAACGACAATGACGGCCATTTTAGTCAATCTTATCCCATATTGTCACAAAAAGCCATAGGCAAATATCCCTAAAATGACGTCACAAATTGCTAGCAGCGCCCTTCCTCTTAAAAAAAATCATAATAGGCATCCGAAAATCAACTTTTCCCCCCATTTAAATACTAACTTCATCACACATCTCGTTATCCGCCACACACCCTCCCTTTTATTATGTCTCAACCATCTGACACCAGTGTTTCTTCCAGACTTTTTTCTCCGGGGGGGGGGGGGGGGGCACTTGAAATCTTCGGGGGGGCGGTAAACTTTCTTCGGGGGGGGGGGGCGGACACTGTTAAAAGTATATATTTTCTATATAAATTATATAAATTTCATTTCGTTCGGGGGGGCGGTAAAAAATTTTCGGGGAGGCTTCGCCCCCCCCCCCCCCCGAAGAGATGCCTGGAAGAAACTCTGTCTGACCCCCCCCCCCCCCCCCTTACAATTTTTAGGTGTGTTACCTCTTTTATGGACGACCTCTGACTGAGACGTTCGCTAGTCTTCTACTGCAATCATCATAGATTATAAGCCTAGGTTTGATTCACTGACTAACCTTTGAAACAGGGGTAGCGTCAGAGGCGGAGGCACGATTTTGTTCTGGGGAGGTTTCAAATCCCCAACGCATATATGTGTATGCCTATATGTATTATACATAAGTAGGCCTATCATGTACTTACACACACATAGGGCCTATATCCCAAAACTATTTGACTTTAAGAACTTCCACAAACACACCATCGTCAAAAACTAAATGTGAGACAGCTGTCCTTTTTTTTGGAAGGGGAGTGGGGGGGGGGGGGTGGTTTCTAGTTGACTGGAAATATTAGCTACGCAGGTTTTGTGGTTCCTTGTCGCACAATAAATGGCATAATTGGACGCTAGTATAGATGATACCCCGAGGTTTTAAGTTTGTTTCTGTAGAGTTCGACGAAGATTCGTTTTCATTAAAGTATTTTAAGAACTCGCCCTTGGGCTGATGATGAGAGACTATCGTGTAGGAAGTGGACCTAAGCGTCGATTAGATCAAGTCTTTGTTTGATGGCTCACGGTGATTAACATATTTCAATGGATAGGCGTGTCCATTGCTCGATTCAATGATTTCCTTCCTTTTTATAGGAAACACTTCAAGCTGTTGTCTATTCATTTTTAATTCAAGTGTGTACAACATAGAAAAATGTGTACACTTTTAACATGGGAGAGCTCAATGTGTTAGATACTTTTATACAGGGTTTAGACTAGTAGAATAGTTCATAAGCTATCATCTAATGTAGGGGTTTGAGAAGTAATCATAAAAAAAGTTATCTCAGTCTGCCAAGTGTTTTGCTTATTTTTGTCAACAGCTGCTAAACCGAAAGCCTCGAGTTCAGATCCAGGGCTTCAGTCTGTACGATGTCATTGAGTCCAAACAACTTTGATGGGTGCCGACCCTTGTTAGGGAAACAGCTGACCACATATCTTTTGAATGCCGAGATCCTTGAAACAGATGAACTCTACTTCATTGGCCCTACATGTCAGGCACAAACAGTAAAAGACTATGCTTATTTCAGCTTGCTGCCCTCCTTACATTTATTGGATAATTAATAAAGCCTACATAACATATTATGGGACAGTGTGGCCTAGCGGTAAGGAATAGACTGCTAATCCAAAAGTCTTGTGTTTGAATCCAGGTTTAAATCAGTAGAACGTCCCTGATTTCACCCAGCTCTGATGGGTATCTAATGCACATTAGGGAAAATAAAGACGGCTGGGCATAGTGCAGACCGCACTATCCTTTCATCTGCGAAGGTCTCAGAAACAGGTGAACTCTACTTCATTTGCCTATTGGCCATCAGGTTAAAAAAGGGAACTTACCTTACATAACATTAAGAATTCTAAGTTTGACAATAGTTATCAATGTGTATTTGTGAATATGCTACCCTAGATTTGTCTCTATATTGTTATAATCAAACCCAATTTTATTATTCCTTAGGCTATGGTCGTTTATATAGAATCACTGTAAGAAAAGAACGACATACAAATATGTATATAATAAATTATTTCAATCCGATTTTTAAATTAAATCTTTTTATTAATAATAACAAATTGCGTGTCACACCACATTAGTAATGATTACAGGAAATAAATATAAAGAGTCTGGTATTATTGCTTCATTTTAAATATGCTTCACTTTTCCCCTTTGCTCTTAATCATGAAAATACAAAATTTTAAAACCGTTATAGTTTATCATCATTACACCAACTTCACCGAAACAATAACATCAGCCTTCATAAAGAAGAGTACAGACAAAAAAACAATAGTTATCATTTATAGCAGTAGTAACTATACCACAATAGTAGCCATTCACCACATACAAACAAGTAACCATTACTACAAAGTAGTAACCATCTACCACAAACACAATATAAATATTCATTTAGTTCATATAAATAAATAAACATTTTACTCTCATTAGTTCTGCAATCAGTTAAATATCTATATTAAAAACTAGAAGGATTGAAATTGCCTTGAGACATAAGAAATTTGAATACAGGACTAGTTGGTGCTAATGTTAGCTGTTTGACTTGCTCTTTTCCTTCTCCCACTTCTCTGCCAGTCTTTTCTGTACAGATCTACGCAGAGGTTTAGGCCACAGACCATTTTCTACCCGAAATTCTTTGCTCTGGTGTTCTGAGGCGCCATGTTGAATTTGAAAGTTACACAGCGCAACCAATGGACCAGTCAATACCTGTAAAACACAATAGCTCTCTTTATAATTAGGAACAACTAAACCAGGTATTTTTAATGGATTTCAACATTTTGTTTAATAAACTGCATATTTAAAAGCATCACTGTTTTTTTTATCAAGCTTACCTCATATATATGTGGTTTCTTTTCTAAGGTAGAAATAGCAAGGGCAGCTGTTTCTAATGTTGACAATGATGTATCACTGGGCTGTGTCCTAATCACATACTTGCTTTTTTCCTCAATTTTTATTTGTACCTTGAAAATTTAAGTTGACTAAGCTAAGTTAGATATATAAACAAATTACTTGAAATTAAAGGTTGTTAAAGAAAATATTTTAAAATGCCAGCCAAAATTGTGGTTAAAATAAATGAAGCTAACAAAGAAACTTAGGTCTTTTGTATTATGTTGAAATTACTTTTTTGAGAGTTTTTAAAATGGCATTCTGTGAGTAGATTCCTTTAGCTTGAGCCCATGTACCGTCAAGAAGGACTAGTGTGTATGATGTATCTGTAGGCAGTGCTGTAATGTCTATGGCATCTTCTCCAGGGTACAGTAAAAGGGTAGTCGGCAAATCAAACACAGGTTTTAGTTCTGGATTCCTATCAACCAATGAAGGACATTAATTAGTAATGAATAAGTGAACCATATCTAAATTTGTGACAAACCTACATAATATTATCATCAATCAGTTTAAATGAATTTATGTAGCATTATTCTCAGCCAGCTATTACCTTAAATAGTTGAAACGCTTTCCTATGATTACTTGACATTTCTCTGGAGAAATACAGTTCTGTAAAATTGGCACTGTACGAAGACATCTTGATTCCTAGAACACAGTAAAACAATAATTACAAAGCAAGCAGAATAATAATGGCACATAACACCTAAGTTAATTAGTTAAATTTGAATTACATTTTCATTACTACTAGCCTACCTCAAAAGGATGCTGAAGAATGAATAAATTAGTTTCCACTTTCACAGGTTCACATGGTAGAAATGGACACCAGCATACAGTTGTCGGACGTCTTTTCAAAAATAAAAACATTTAGTGTTACCAGTTCATGATAAATTTCCTTAATATTTGTATTGATATTCATAACATTATACAGAGTGATTTTCATTCCTATGTCAGACAATGGACTTTTGCAAAAATATGGTGACGAAAGGCGTCGGATGTTAAGGGTCTTTAAAGTTAAAGTTGTTGTCACATTAAGTATTTTGTGATTTTTGACAAGCAGGAGGGTGGGGGTTTAAAAACACTTTTGCATTTAAAAAAGAAAATAATATTAAAAACTAAATTTTGGCATCATTTTTTCAGTTATAAATGGGTTTTTTTTTCGTAAATTGTAGTAAAAATTGCTCAATGTACTCAATGTTGACTGTTAAGTAAGTAAAGTTCCTTTTCAAACCTGACGGTCTATAGGGCAAGTGAAGTAGAGTTCACTTGTTTCTGTGACCTCGGCATGTGAAGAGATAGTGTGGTCAGCACTATGCCCATGTTGACTGGGCCCAGAGAATATTTTAGAAAGAAATGAATGTTTAATTTTTAAAGGTTGTTGTCTGGCTTTTGTGATCATGGGGCAGGTAAAAAATTTGTATACCAGTATCTGATAATAGAATTTTCTTTAAAAAGGGGTGTTAGATTACTGGCAGTTAATACACACATTGCTGGCTAATGTCAATGCATAACCCTGTCCCTAACCCTAACCGTAGTCCTACCATATGCCTAACCCTAATGATCTAATCTAATTTCTAACCATAAAATTAGTCGAGATTACAATAGTAAAACTACTAGAATCTAACAACCCAACACACCTATTTTATGGAAGAGTCTATTATTATTAGACATCTCTAAAATGATCCAATAATTATTTTAATAAAATAAATTTAAATAAAATAGTTTAAAATAATAGGAAGCCCAGGTCTAAGTAATTTTTTTATGAATTGAGTTAGGCCCAGAATTAGATCTAGATCTGATCTAGAAACTACATCTAGAAATCTAGATCTAGATTCTAAAATCATCACAGTCTGCACGAGGATACACTCAGTACACACGACTGACTACACAGTCAGTACACACGACTAACTACACACTACACACATACAGTACTGAGTACACACTATGACTGACGACACACATTCATTCATTCGTCTCTCTCGTCTTACTTGCAGCGATCACATGTGGGTCTCTTTGTTAAGAAATTGTCGTCATCAAAAATATCTAAACACACAAAATCATCTAAATTATTCTGATTATGTAAATTTTCAGTCTCCATAATATGTAAGAGTCAATGCCTAAAAGTAATGTATTAATTTTTAATTTTATTCTTCTTGTCAACAGTCTGTGGAGGACGCCATATTGAACGGTAAAAGTGACGTAACGCAGATCTCATTTCTAAAAATAGATCTCTTTTTGTTGTGCTAACTAGGATGATGAGTTCTAGAGAGCTGACCTAAACTGCGTTTAAAAATTATTATGGCCTACTTCACACGCGCAGTGCTTCTACTTATTTAAAAATAACATTAGACTTACTTTTTAAATACTCAAATGTAACATTGTTGGGTTAAAATTATTTTTTAATACTTAAAATGTAACACCATGGGGGGGGGGGGGGGGGGGGGGGTTGAAAACAAAGCAAAATTACCTTACAAGGTCCGTCCCCCTTTGCCCCCCCCCCCCCCCCCCCCCGCACGGCTAATAAATATAGGCCCCAAAATGTAATAAAAATTAAACTTTTTAAGCTTTTAAACATCTTTTTTTGTTCTGAAAAAAAAAGCTAAAGTACGTAAACTGCTCAGCTGCAGTTTTGCATTATAAGTATTAAAAAAATTGGGGAAGGGTCCGCCAAATTGAAAGTTTGTCCCCGGGCGCCGGGAAGGGTCGCTACGCCTAGGAGGAGGGGGGGGGGGGACGGGGTAGACTTTCTTCGAAGGGGCGGAGCCCCATCCCCCCGAAGAAATGCCGGGAAGAAACTCTGCTCGAAGTCACTTCGGAGTACGACTCTCAAGTCCTATAAGTTAAAATTTGTCGATAACTTAAAATGCTTACAAAATAAATTATATATAGATCTAGATGTCTAGCTCTAGGCCTATATATTTAAAACTTAAATTTAATACTTTAAAAATAATTAGTCATGGCTCGAAAACAAATAATTGATTTGAAGATTTTTCTGTTGCTAATCGGCCTCACGCAAGACAGTACAGTGCATTGAGTCTACAAAATCAACAGCCCCCCACCCCCTCCTCAAATCTGAACTCATGCAGTGTTTCTTCCAGACTTTTTTCTCCGGGTAAGGGGGGGGCACCTAAAATGTTCCAAGGGGGGGGGGGGGCAGACTACATTTCCGGGGGTGGGATGGGGGCGGACACTATTAAAAGTACATTTTCTATGTAAATTTGTTTTCGTTCGTGGGGGGGGGGGGGGGGGGAAGGGGGAGCGGTTTAAACACGTTAATGCGAGTACCGCCTACATTACTGTAGGACTTAGGGCTGATATCCCTGTGGTTTAAAACAGTCCAAAACGTTCTTTTGTTATCTCTTGTTTCAAATCATTCGCCAGCCGCCACACCATTTCGGTACAATGGCTAACTTGGTCACCGGAAAATGTCCCCTCCACACCGCCCCCTCCCTCTCTGCTGGAAGCTGCTAATCTGATCATACGGGGCTCCGATACAATTAATTATTCGCAAAATTGCTGTCCTCGTCTGGTTTTTACCCTGACAATGACGAGTGAAACGAAGGAAATCTTTAGACTGCACGTGCGTGTGTTTGCCTATCTGGACCTCAGATATTATAATTTTATAAAAATCCAAGTTTTTTTTTACCCTCGAAGTTATGTCCCACACTGTGGTAGACTCCATGATACATGGTTTAAGTTGGGTATATTTAAAACAACAGTTGACTACCGGAAGATCAAGTCGACATGCGCAGAAAGGAGAAGAGACATTCTGAAGTAGCCTACAACAGCCAATGCTGTTTGCTATATTTTGTATCTGGCACAACGTGTACAAATAGAAATATAACTTAAGAATTTTTTTTATTATTTTAAAACGATAATTAGGCGGCGTGGTCGGGTCGGTAAAGCTCATGGATGCTAAACCGAAAAGTCCCGAACTTCGAAGTCCGGGCAGACGAGGCTCCGTAGCTAGGGATAGCAACCCACTTGGGAGAAGAAAAAAAACAACTCCAAAATCAACAACTGCCGCCTTTTAACTTGTTTTTGGTTGGGCACAGACTATGGAAGCAAATCCAGATAGTAAAGCAGCCTAAAACTAATATCAAAGTCAACAGCTTATTATATGGCGCATAACAAGTTGACACATAATACTCCCAATATTAAAATTAAAAAAAAACAAAGAAGAAGAAACAGTTAATAATAAAAGGTACAGAGTTACAGAGTAATCAAAACTGTTATTACTTATTAGAGTAACAATCACAAACCATAACTAAGGAATAGACCACATATCTCTACCAGAAAGAAGACCACCTATTTCAATGAACAGAGGTAAGTGCATTCTTACACACGTAAAATGTGGTCTACATTGTGTAGTATCTTATAACAGGCCAAGATGTGCCGACATTGTGTAGTATCTTATAACAGGCCAAGATGTGCCGACATTGTGTAGTATCTTATAACAGGCCAAGATGTGCCGACATTGTGTAGTATGTTATAACAGGCCACGATGTGCCGACATTGTGTGGTATAACAGTACAGGCCAAGATGTGCCGACACTATGCTAATAAAATAACCGAATCCCGACTTCGAGCCTACTTGATGCCCCTCTAAGAACAATAACTCTAGTCTATGTAAAGAAACCGCCAGCCCACGGTAAATGTGTTTATTTTCCTATTAAGTAAACACCCAAACAAGCCCAGTATCGATTTTAAAAAGTGATTGCCAGCAATTCCATAAGATCTAAATCAAAGTGAAAGTCTTTTTTTTTTCGCATTCTATTTTTTTAAAATCACGGAGCGTTCAAACGTCAGACTAATCACAGATGATCGAATGTTCTTTGTTCAAACCAAATAGATTTAGCTCCAGCAAACTTTGTGTTGGACGAGACACACCAACGGTACCCCCACCCTCAAGTTGTGTTGGACGAGACCCAGCAACAGTACCCCCACCCTCACGCACTGGTCGCTATTAAGTTGTGTCAACATCATTTTGTTGAATTACATATAGACTTTTCTTTCTTAGCACCAGCGGACCACGGCAAACAAAAAAAAATGATTGAAGTTTTTAAAAAGTCTGTGTGGTTAGCAAGCAAAGAGGGGGGGGGGGGTGAAATTGTGATACCGTTAAGCAGGGACTGGTCTAAATAGCTGGAGGGGAGGGAGTGAGGGAGGAGGAGGGGGGGGGGGTCACGAGTAAAGTTCACATTCAGGTCTTTGTTGTCCTGCGAGGGGAGACTAACAACATTGAAGGCCCGATCAAACACTGAGGTGCTCGGTTGTTGCCGTGGCAAAAGGCGGCTGGAGTTGATCCCCCTGAGGAGAAGCCTGGTCAACACAAAAATACCACCTTGATTGTTCACTGAGCAAATGGCAGTAAGCGTTTTACTAACATGTCTTACGTGCATTTGGCTCAAGTATGTGTGTGTGTGCATGTGTGTTTCGGTGTGTGTGTGTGTCGGTGTGTCAAATGGCAGTAAGCGTTTTACTAACATGTCTTACGTGCATTTGGCTCAAGTATGTGTGTGTGTGTTTCGGTGTGTGTGTGTGTCGGTGTGTCAAATGGCAGTAAGCGTTTTACTAACATGTCTTACGTGCATTTGGCTCAAGTATGTGTATGTGTGTTTCGGTGTGTGTGTGTGTCGGTGTGTCAAATGGCAGTAAGCGTTTTACTAACATGCATTACGTGCATTTGGCTCAAGTATGTGTATGTGTGTTTCAGTGTGTGTGTCAATGTGGGTGTCAGTGTGTGTGTCAGTGTGTGTGTGTGTATGTGTTGAATTGAAGTTTTGGAAGTGTCATTTGTTTCCTTGAAGTCTTTGCTAACTTTAAGTTCAAAATCTTCTTTAAAAAAAAAATACCAGACTTCTTTTAAATGTATGCTTTTGAAAACCTTCTTGCTGAAAGAAATAGCAATTTAATTTTAGTCGATGTTCAAAGTTTATAAAAGTTGAAAAAAACAACAAGTGAAAATCTTTTATTTCCATCAGCCGCCGCAAGCATTAAGTCAACCCTCAAGATACAGGTCGCGACTGAAGGGAGATCAGTGTGGATAGCAGTCATCCAACCGTGACTTGGTCAACTGACGCTTACCCGGATGTTCAGTCTGAATTGGTCAAGGTGAAGGTTAGAGTGTATTTTCATATATCCACATGACTTGGTTAAAATGACGTGTCCAGTGTATTGCCACATGACTTGGTTAAAATGACGTGTCCAGTGTACTGCCATATGACTTGGTTAAAATGACGTGTCCAGTGTACTGCCATATGACTTGGTCAAAATGACGTGTCCAGTGTATTGCCAAATGACTTGGTCAAAATGACGTGTCCAGTGTATTGCCAAATGACTTGGTCAAAATGACGTGTCCAGTGTATTGCCATATGACTTGGTCAAAATGACGTGTCCAGTGTACTGCCATATGACTTGGTCAAAATGACGTGTCCAGTGTATTGCCAATGTGTACAGTGTGAAGACGTGCACGACAAACACGGGGATGCTCGGTGTCTTTTAGGCCGTCTGCTATTACATTACCACCAGCTCCACGTCTGCCTTTGTAGTTCTTGTCAACACCGTTTGGACCGGGCCAGAAAGTACTTTTGCCGCTCCACAAACACAGCTAGCAGCGCCAAGACACACAAGCAGGGATGGTGCAAATATTGTAATTTCCGGCTTCTCCCCCCTCGCCAGAGGACCCCACCATTCAGGGGAGATTATTTGCTCTTTAGATTGTCCAGTAATATCGAAAATCTTATAGGGCTTCAATATCCTAGTTTGTATGAGGGATTATAGTGGCTACTGAACAGTGGTCAACAATATTTAGAAGAAAAGTGGTCAACAATATTTAGAAGAACAGTAGTCAGCAATAGTCAGAAGAACAGTAGTCAACAATAGTTAGAAGAACAGTAGTCAACAATAGTTAGAACAGTAGTCAGCAATAGTTAGAACAGTAGTCAGCAATAGTTAGAAGAACGGTAGTCAGCAATTGTTAGAAGAATAGTAGTCAACAATAGTCAGAAGAACAGTAGTAAATTAGAGTCAGAAGAACAGAAAAAAAAATGGTCAACGACAGTCAGTATTCGGCATAGTGCTGACCACACTATCTCTTCATATGCCGAGGTCACAGACTCAAGTGAACTCTACTTCACTTGCCCCATAGACCGTCAGGTTTGAAAGGGAAACTTTTACAGTCAGTATTC